GCAGAATCTCAAGGATCTCAAAGGAATGGTAGAATGAATTGTTGTCCTCGATGGTGCATGATGTGAATACAGTTTACATTTCTGTTTAACTGGACTCACCGCCACTGTGGATTTTCTAATGACTCTTACCAAAAACATTTTAGGATGATTTTATAATCTAAAAAAGATAAATAATTTTTACAAAAGGATAACACAATGATAAAAATGTATCTTATGCTATTACTTGGAAAAACAAATTGCTGTTTTATTATTTTAAACAAAAAAAGATAATTATTTAGAATACGCACTGCACCTTCGATTTTCATGTAAATTAGGCTCATTCGACGTATTTTTGCTCGAAGCGGAAGAATCTGTAACGCTGATTCTACAATGAGTCGGTAGTTGATAGTCCTAAGTCTTATCAATGAAGTTGACCAATAGCCAACTTGTACGACTAAGGCTGATTGGCCAACTTCTCCAATTAAGACTAAGACTTCTGACTACCGACTCATTGTAGAATCAGCATAAGACAAAACGTTAGGTTGGTCCCATGAACCGAGATATTAAGCGTTATTCTACAATGAGTCGGTAGTTGATAGTTCTAAGTCTTATCAGTGAAGTTGATCAATAGCCAACTTGCACAATTACAAGGACATTAATTGGTCAACTTCATCAATTGAGACTAAGACTTCCGACTACAGACTCATTGTAGAATCAGCATTAAAGTTTTTTTTTTTTAATAAAGAGTGTCCCTCGGGTAAGAGAAAGAAAAAAATCGCGAACATAAAAGTTGACGACTATCTAGGTTAGAAAATCCGTCATACTGAGATGCAGCACTATGTACGAACACTACGGCCTAAATTTGAAGCAAGTAGTACTGTTGTAAATATAACAAAGTTGTAAACATAATATAAAAATAATAATAAAGGGTAAGAAAGCAGTTCTTTAGATCAATTCTTTCTCTTAGAATATAATTCTTTTTAGAAACATAAAAATTATATAAGAAGGTAATTTGTGTTTGTAAAACACAGAATATGATTGTAAATGAGTGATTATGAATCGTGATATTAAAAACAATTAACTTTTTATATATGAATTGAAATTTAGATCTAACATTTTTAAAATAGAGAATTTGTTTTTAAAGCACAAAATTGTATTCTAAAGAACTGCTATTTAATCCTTTACTATTATTTTTCTATTGTATTTCTTTTGTCATGTATCTTTTTTTTGCTATGTTCACAATTAATAGTGCACTTTACTTGTTTCAAATTTAGTCAAGCAGCGGAGCAACAACCAATCAGCGATAATTTTTACCCCGAATTCTCATACAGGGTACGATCAACGCGATACTGCAAACGCTTTTTAATTGGTCAGTTTGTAAAACTTTTCTTTCTCCTAATTGGTCCATCAAATGGTTCAATGTATTTGTAGCGAGACTTTGACCACAGCCACAGACAACAGCGCTTTGGCACAAAACCGGTTGTGATGGTAAAATTTACTTCCATCAAAATTTATTTTCATCACCCATTCGTTTTTTACCAATCAACGTTTGGTATCAAAGCTCTGTTGCCTGTATGAGGATCCGGGCTAAAAATACACTGCCCTTATCGCCCAGCTGATTGGTTGCTGTTTCCGCTGCTTGACGCTTGCATGTGAATGCACCTTTAGATCACCCAATCAAATGCCTAATTCACACTGAACGCAGCAAGCGTCAAGCAGCAGAGCAGTAATCAACCAGCAAGGCGATATTGTTTACGCCACTGTAAATATCGCCTCATTGATTGGTTGCTGCATCCAGTGTGAATTAGGCAAAATATTTTGCTACGCAGCGTGCCGCACATGAAAAGTCAGCTTTATTTGGGAACAAGTAGTTACGAGGGACGAACGTCTACGTCGGGAGCATGTTCTATGATCACGGGTGCAACGTAACACGTGTTAGGTTGAGTACGTTTACTTGTAGAAAGAGAGAAGACGTAGTGACTGTGGTTCCGCTGGCAACACGAGTCTTCGTCATCGCCGACCCGTAAGATCAGTTTAACGTTATCAATCACGATATCGGATTCATACTGCGATGCAGGATTCCGTGTCGCCGTCTCGCGCACGGCGTTTCAGCAATCGAGTGTATATTTATGAGGCGCGATCTGCCTACGGCGACTAAATGCACACGTCGCATGCATTTTGGTAAACGGCAACTATCTGACATGAGGACGGTAACGATCTGCCTACGGTGACCTGGTCGCAAGTCGTGCCGCCTCGCGATGTCGCCGGAGAACGTATCGTCCGATTGGCGACGCAAGCCGTTCCGTGTTCTCGGAATCTCCCTAACCTGCCTAGCCGTTGTAACTGCATAACCTGACTCGCGTACATAACATATTGCGCCCCCGATTCTCCGTGCTGGCGCGATCGGCCGTGCGGATGACGCAACGATGTCCTCGATCGCGGCATCGGTTGCGTCGATATCTGCCCGATCGGACACGTGGCTGCGCGTCGTGTCGAAAGTATCATGCCGAGACGCAAACCGTATCTTGGACCGCGGCTTGTTTTCGTTGCGTTGGAAAGTGGAGCATGCCTCGTGCTCCGGTTCCACGTGCTAATGTAGAGCATTACCAGATGGGTCGGCTTGGAAGGTGGAATTTGCTTTCCAATTGAGAACGTTGAATTATATTTATTGTTTCTTTCCATTTACATCAAATCTCAGATAATACTTATTTCTGATGTCGTAACTCAGTTGAATGCACATTCCTTTTCATTCTAACAAAGTAAGATTCGACTGAGTTTTTATTTATAATCTATACAAGCCTGAATCTTTCGTTATCTTACATTAAAAGTTTATAAACTTGTATAGTATGTGTTATGCGATAACCTTGTCACTAAAATAAATAGTGACGTCATTATCTGTAAAATACTATGATTTATTTATAATACTACAAAATATATAATTTAAAATTCAGTATCATTTGTGTAAAAATGGAAAGTAATTTATATCGTCACGTTTGTATTTACTGCTACGAAAGCTAAAGTTGATGGGAAGTGAGCTTATCTATATGTCATATCTCTTTTTACTGTGGAGTAAGAAATCTCTGATCTACATTGGATTCTACATTCCAGTCTGATAAGCCAACTCGAAAAATCTTGAGGCAAAGTATTGAGATGCATTATACAACTGGTTAATATTTTCTTTTTTTTCTGTTTGTGCATAGATTGTAGCAGCATTAGCAGAATACACGGATTACGTAATATACATAAAATTGTACTGCGACAAAAGTTGTGCAGCCAAGATCCCAACCATTCACGCCCGAAACATAGATCTTGAGAAATTCAAGCATTGCAACGGTGCAGAAGGGCTCTATGTGCTCCACCGTGACTTGGGCGAATGGTACTTTAGTTTCCAAGAGCTTGCTACTGTGGTATCGCGAGAGGTCCGTCCAGGTGGCCTGTAATCCGGGTGTGCAACAGCGACAAAATGCTCAACGAGATCAAGGCGGCGGTACTGTTCTTAGTAAATCTGATCGAAAAAAGCGAAAAATTTAGTCCCGATCAATTGGAATGCTTCAAACGGCACCTGGTCGAACTGCTGACGGAACGCTTCAAAAATCACTGGTTTCCCGATAAACCGTTTAAAGGCCAGGGCTACCGTTGCATTCGCGTTAATGGCCACAATCGTCGGGACGCAACCCTGGAAAGTGCCGCAAACGCGGCTGGTGTCAAGTATGAGGATCTGGCATTGCCGGTGGAATTGACGCTGTGGGTTGATCCCAACGAAGTCTGCTGTCGATTTGGCGAGAGCAAAGGATCGTACTGTACGCTGGCATCATTCGATGATAAAGAAAACACCGTACCCATTTTTCAAGCCGAGCATAATGAGAACATAGAGAACGAGAATGAGCCAGCCCACGTGGGGTCTATCAAGATACAGGTGAGTATTGATACATTAAAAGATTGAATTTACAATATTTATGCGGCAAATATAAATCTAAATTTAATAGAGCAAACGAAAGCATTTTTATAAATGTGTATTCAGAAAAACTTATTGTCTCAGAAATATTTAGTTTCATTAATTTTTAAATTATCTTATTCCTTGTTTGTTACATATTTTTTCAATCGTGCAAAATGTTTGAAAAATAGATAATTTATAAAACATTCGTCCAATCTACTTATTATAAATTGATGTGCCAAATAGGTTGCATCAAATTATCGATTTACAAAACAAATTGAAGAATTGAAATTATTAGTTTTTGAAATAATTACACTGCTTTACAAATTTTGAATAATTTTTAATATCAAGAAAGAAAATAATTTTTTAAACGTATTTTAGGATGCTGAGTTTGAATCTGTCTCCAGAAAACTTATATCAGGTCGAATTTTTAAGATATAGCATGTCATTTTTAAGATGTAATGTATCAATTTTTAAACTATAGCATTTCTTTACGAATAATTTGAGTGCGACAAGTGATGAGCAAGGCAAGTGAAATCAATCCAAAGTCATATAGAAAACGAAAATTAAACGTTTAGTTCTTCTGATTTGTCTTTTGATTTTAATAAAACTTTACTATATTGGAAAAATTATCTTTTGTATCTCAGAAACCTGATCCAATGGAAATATTTCGATGGCAGATTTGGGTTCGGAATCGGAAATTATCCTAAAAATAGTCTATGTGTTCTTACATAAACCATACTAGTGTTATTAATTATATTTGCTATTTATCATTCTGTTCTTCATTGTTTTTTATGTCCAATTTAACTCTATATTTGATAATATCTCTAAAATATATAAAATAATTTCGATGTATTATAATTTCAGAAATCCCCTCTAACCGCAAGTACAGAACAACAACAATCGAAATCAAAACCATTAAGCATCGCTAATCAAAATCAACAGCATAGCAATAACGGCACAGGTAAGAGGCGCAACTTGAACAGTCCTAGGTTGCATCTGAACAGAAATCGTTCGTGGTTTGGAATCCATAACTTCAGTATGGGGGGTTACGGCTCTCATCCAATGAACCAGCCATGGTACAATATAATGCCCCCGCATTTTCTCGGTGGCCCTTCTCCGCCACCCTTTATGGGACACCGAGGGAACAAGTGGGTACATCAACCTTCTTATCCCGCAGGACCCGCCCGTTTCCATTGGTCTCCCAAAGCTGCTCTTAAGGTATAAAGAGAATCGTTTTAAGAAAATAGTTAAGAAACCTGTTTCTTCTTTGGAAAAAAAAATAGAAAATTTGAAAGACATGTAATTGCTTGCTTTTCAGAAAATATTATTGAATTCATCATTAAAAAAGTATTTAAATTAAAATGTATTTATGATGACATTTATGCAGGTAGAGAATGTAAATGTAAATTTTTTTATTGGGAACAGGTTTATTAACGCATTTCAGTGACGAAAATTATCCATCCTGTAATTACAAATGACCTTGTTCGAACTAAGGCTTACGATTTTTTATGAGAGGTATTGCATTATTATATGTTACATATATATAATAAAAATTGGAGTAAATGTTTAACTCCGGATGCAAGGTTGCTTGTAAAAAGGTAGATTAGTGCACTATAACAATTCAAATAGAATAGTAAATGACGCAATATATGCGTGAAATGGAAATAGATGTCATATCATGACAAGTTATTTCTCCGATCAATTTTTGAAATAACTTAAACTTTATTCGAAATACACGCGTGATAATGTATCAAAGAATTAAGAATTGAGAAAATTTGTTTATCTAATCATCGCAAATTGATGTATATTTGCTTTGTTACATCTGTTTTGTTACATTTGTTGTTGTCAAA